TAAAGTCCGACATTTTTTTTTTGCATAATAAAGTATATTACATTAGCTTTAATTTAAGATATATATAAAAGTGTCAGACTTTTCGGAACATTTTCAAAAGTCAAGCTGAAAAAATTGTCATTTTAAATCTCCCGTGTGGGCAGGTAAAGGCTCAGATTTATAAAAAAAAATATACCAAATGAAAGGTAATTATATTATGCATCTATAAAAAAAAAGAATTATATTAATTTGATCATTTTTAAAAAAAGTTATGGCAATTTTAAGTAAAAAAAAATGAAAAAATTTTGAAAATTAGTGTTTTTTAAATTTGTATTTTTTTTTTTTGAGGTTTCCCCCATTTACGGGGAACGAGGGAAATTTTTTCAATTTTTGAGGGTAATGTCATCGACTAGATACGATTTTTGATCTTTTGACGTATCATTGAAAGAAGTCGGTTCGGTGAAAGCTGAGAAAAAGTGGTAACAGGCACAAAAAAAAAAATCAACACATCATAGTAAAATGAACGAAACATGGATCCATCACTTCACTCCAGAATCAAAACGATTATCATCTGAGTGGACAGAAGCCGGAGAACTTCGTCCAAAGCGCCCGAAGCACAACAGTCAGGTGGAAAGGTAATGGCCTCTGTATTTTGCAATAATTAAGGTATAATATTCATCGATTACCTTGAAAAGGGAAATACCATTAACAGTCAATATTATATAGTGATATTGGAGCATTTAAAGGCCGAAATTACAAACAAACGACCGCAGATGGCAAAAAAAAAATTTGTTTCATCAAGACAACGCATCGTGTCACAAATCAAAAAACACAATGGAAAAATTACGTGAATTAAAGATCGAATTGCTTCCTCATCCACCATATTCTCCAGATTTGGCTCCCAGCTATTAATCCAAAAACCAAATCACAAAATATGCATACACTTTGTTAGGGGCTAGTTTAATACTGAGGATCTTGGTCAAAACCAAGAATCGGAACCTACCCGACGTCTGCCCAAATATTGTCTCTATCTCCTTAAATGAGTTTTAATTACCTGAAGGAGACACAAGTAATCGTGTACCTTAGTTACAAGAGATAGATTATATAATTCTACGCAAGGCGCTCGGGTTGTTCCTTCCCTGATGGCTTACAAATAGTCAGCGATAAAACAAATTTGCAACGCAAGTTGCTGCGTGAGTGTCACTTGGAGCTTGTCCGAAGAACCAACGAAGGCGAACCTGGCCTGCGAATTTTATTTGAAAATGGGCTGCTGAAAGTAGGTAAAATTCTTTCAAAAAACGGAGGACCCCAACTGCGCATCCGCTCATAACACCGTCGATCTTTCATGGTCCACTGTCTGGTTACTACCAAAACTGTCGTGGACTCATATAAAACCATATTTTAATTGTAATGTTTCTTCTTTAGATAGTTTATTCATTGTACTCACTGAAACTTGGCTTACTAGTCAATTTTCTAATTCTGAACTTGGTCTTTTTAACTATAATATTTTTAGATATGACAGATGTACGTTTACTAGTAATTGTAATCGTGGTAGTGGAGTCCTCATTGGCATTCGCAAAGGTATTCCTTCCTACCCCATCCTAGTTGAACAACTGAATGTTGAACACATCTGCAGTAAATATCTCGCGTGAGTTAAACTCTATTACAGATCTAGGCTTTAAGTTTAGTTATAATCTTGATCCTATGCTTCATATTGATTATGTTTGCTGTAAAGCTTTTAAAGCGTTAGGTTTTATTATGCGTTTGGCCAACGATTTCAAGCAAGGACTTTCACTTAAAGTGCTATTCTGTTCTATAGTCAGACCTATTCTAGAATATGGTAGTGTAGTGTGGGATCGATATACTACCTTGGGCTCACTACAGCTTGAGCGAGTTCAACGAAAGTTCCTACGCTTTGTCAGCTACTCGCTCAACATAGTCTGTCCAAACCACGATTATGCCCCTGTCTCGTATTTGCTTGGCTTATCCTCATTAGCTGCGCGTAGGCGCAATGCTGAAATTAATTTCCTAATTGGTTTATTGAATGGTAATATTGATTCGCCGAGCCTGTTGTCCCTCGTATGTTTCAGAGTACCTCAGCGCGCAACAAGAAATAATGCTCCATTTGTTGTCCCTCACTGCCTAATTAATTATGCAAAAAATGAGCCACTTAGGCGTCTTATGACTAATGCCAATGTTGACCCTAACTTTTCATTTTAATTTTTGTATTTTGCTTTATGTTTTATAATTAAATTGATTTTCATTTTTTATTTTTATCTTTACGTTTAATAATTAATTTACATATTTTTAGTATATATCTTTCTATGTTACAATAACCTAATTTATGTACTTGTATTATTTGTAAAAAGGGCTTCTGCCCGTGAAATTATAAAATAAAATAAAAGTAAAATAATTAAGTTAGACTATTGTTTTATATCAACGACAAAGTAAAGTTATATTTTAGATTTTCAATAAATATAAGTTATATGTAATGTACAATACATCTGTCCTGAATCCTAGTACAGTTGGTTAGTAGGTATATTTATGTGACACGGAGTTGGTTGGCTATGATGACAATAAAAAAAAAGTAATAGTATTGAAAACTATGTCTATAACGGCCACTCAAACAAAACTACCCCTAGTTAGTTCGACGTCAGTAACTCCGGGCTACAGACGAGTAGAATTGTCACATCAGTATCTCCCTCTTTGCTAATTAATATGTAATATGTAATCGAGTGGTTTATGATTAACCAATCACTATGTAAGCGAAAAAAATCACTATACATTCCCTAAAATATAATCTATAAGATTGCTTTTATACAAACTATTTAAAAATGAATGATGATCCATTTAAGTATAATATATATACATATATATATTTATATATACTTTTTTTTATTCTTATATCAGTTTGTTTCATAGCAATAAACAACAATAATTATATAACAACAATGGTTTCAAACATAACCAATTACAAAAAAAAAAAGTTGACATCAAGCGATATTTCAATTTACTAAATTTAAATACATGTGTTTGAAAAAAAGAATGTACATATTTTCAAGTATGAATTTGGTACAACCAATAGCTCGTCATGATTTAATTACGCGGTATGTATACATTGAAGATAAATACTTATATAATAAAATATTATACTTCGAGAAAATAATTGAGACATCAGATCAGAATAAGTTTAAAGCCAGCAAATGCAAATAGTTTGTTATATATAAAAAAAATTAACAATTCTTTTTAATTTTTAAAAATATTTATGATTGTCTTAAAAAGCAAATAATTTTTTATATTAATTGAATAAAATTGTTTATATTACTATTGTATGTAGAAAACATGACTAACTATAATGAATAATCGCTTGATAATAATACAAAAAATAAAATATTAGATTAAATTAACAAGCTCCTTGCAGATTTCCAAATTTACTTGCTTAAATATTTTTAATAGTATAAATGGTTAATCAACTATAAAACAAATAACTTAATAATTTATTTAAAATTTTTTTTGAACACAAATTTAATGTTCTTCTAATATATGTGTATAAAAAACATTTTAAGTGCGATTTTAGTGAATTTGAAATTATGTAATCATCTTTAACAAGAATTAATTATTAACAGTCGAATTTATTTTGAATTATAATTATTATAACGATAATGATAGTTTGGAATATTTTTTATAATTTCTAATAATTTAAAATAGACAATAATGTTATAAAAAACAAATATTATTTAAAAAACTATGATAGCTGATCGCGAACAAAATTGCTTAATAATTTTTATTACACAAAAAAAAAGATAATTTTCAGACTATCGAAATACAAATATAAATTCGGTATAACGCAGTGTATAAAATAATATTTTAAATAATGTACATTGATTTATTATTAATATCAACTTACATGCTAATAATTTTTCTTTGCGTATAAACCAATCACTTTAATTTTTTTTTACAAAATGTTTAAACAAAAATTATTCAACGTCGTAAACAAATTTAATAACATCAAACATTAACATTGTTTACATTTGATCTGAACGCTAAATATTCCAAAGTCATTAAGTAATTTTTATAACAACATTTATTTCTTTAATGCACAATATTTTTTTTTATAATTGAAGAGTCGGCGGACATATGTGTTATGTAGAAATTTATAATTTTTTTTTTCTGATTCAATAAATGTAATTAGATATGGCTGTATAGCAAGTTATTCCGCAAAAAAAAATAAAAAACAAAAAAATGTTACATATCACTTTTTTAAATTAAATTTTTTACAGAATAACATGCTATGAAGTCATCTAACTATATTTATAGAAACAGAAAAAAAATTACAAATTACTACATTGCACATTCTTTCCGCAGATACTTTAATTAACTATTTAAAAAAAATATCCTAATAATCATCTTCAAATACATTAAAAATATTCTTTTTTTTTTCCTTTTTTAATTTTCGATTATGGTTTTTTCTTGATATTACTATGAACATTTAATAAAAGCATACATTTTGTATTTATACATTTAATTAACTATAGTGGATTATTATACAAATGTATATATATATCTAATCACGAATTTAAAAAAGTTTAAAAAAGGATAAATAAAGAGTAGGGAAATGCCCTTATGAAAAAATAATAATTTTGACAGGATATTGGTGTATATAATACTAATATAAATTAATTTGATCATGCTAAACAAAGTGAGTTCAATACATGATTACAACAATAAACATAATTAAACAAAAATAATATAATAATATGGCTCTACTGATCATATAAAACAAAGATCGAAATATTTACATTGATTCCACAAAAGGTGTAGCACTTTCACGATGACCTATTTGTACTCGTTATTTTTTTTTTTGTACATCATTATAGGAACTTAGCCTATCACACAAAATTTCCCGTGATAGTTTTGTTAGTTGTTAGTAACTAATTGGAATGAATAGTCGGTCCAAATAGAAAAAACCCAGCACAGTGGGGTCGCCACAGTGAGAACGTTGCATAGTTGGGTCCANAAACAAAACTTGAAGTACGGAATCATTAAAAATAATTCACTAAATATTAATTTTCCAAAAAAAAGTACTAAATTATGCTTTTTACAATATAGTTCAAATTTATTGAATCGTTCCTAAAAATGGTTTACATAAAAACAATTTTTAATTACAGTCCAAAATATTGTATGTCAATAAACATTTTTTTTCTGAAGAATTAATATTTAGTTTTATTTACGATGTTAGATGAGTCAATCGAAATTAATAGAATAAATATGAAAAGTAAGGACGGATCCCCTCGATTTTTTCTATACCATCAAAATATTTTTATTATATCAAAGAGTAAGTCAATATTAATCTTAAATTAATCAATAAAGCTATTTCTTAGGGCAGCTGTATAACATTATGATGTGTATATAAAAAATGAGCGGTTATTTAAAAATCAAGTAAAATCGATTGACTTCGATTATTAGATGTAACTATTTTCATTCGAAAATATTTTATGTGATTGCTAATTCAAATGATAGTACAATTTAAATATACGAGTATGGGCCGTCTGTGAGAGCGCTACAAAGCAATAGTCAGGAGTTATCATCTTTAACTCGGCCGCCATTTCTGCTGGTTGGTTTATACTCAAGTCCAGGATCAAATTGCATTAAAACAAATACCTGCAAAAAAAAAAATTCACTTTGATTTATCGTTAATTTTATGAATACTTTGTTTGTAAACAATCATCATAACAAAAAAAACCCAGCACAGTAGGGACATGACATAGTTGGGTCCAGTATAAATTTAATCTGATAGTGATTAAAATCAATATCATAAAAAACGCTTCGATTAAAATCTGTAGATGGTGTTTAATTTTAAAAAATTGATGGATTATTCCAAAACATGATCTACTATTTCCTTATTTATAACCTGATAACAACTTTTATTATTTATAAATGTATATATGTATAAATATTTATTATAGCAATTAAATATAGTATGAAATTAATATTTAATTATTTAGTATTTTAATTTTTACGGAGAAATCATAAAAAATTATAAAGTAGCAATTACTTTTATGACATACGTAAAATTTGAAGGTCTTGCAATAATTAAAAAAAAATTGTTTGTTATTTATAAATAAAAATAATGGTCAACAAGGAATTTACATCCGAGACCAAAATATACTTTGCTAAACTCATTTTTGCGTTGATTTCAAATCTGCAATTAGAGTTTCGCATATTGCCTAAATAATAACAAAATCCGTCTAATTAATATAACAAACATTTATGTTTGATTATTAGGTTACGTATGAATAATCAATAAATATAATTTAATTAAAAATTTAAGTTTAAAGTTTAAAAAGTCCTACTATCTATATGCATTTTTAAGTTTTGAACCCCACCTGTATAAAAGGAAATGGTCATTTTAAAAAAAACAGTATGACAAATGAAAGAGTAAATATAAATAGTATTTCTTATGTAAAAATTGTATTGTTCCATAATTTTTTAAAAAAGTTATAAAAATATAAAGTTAAAAACGTAAAATATAACATCGAGAATCTTAACACAAAAATAGCATACGGTAGTCATTTTCACGATGAAGACAAAATAAAATGCGAAAATTTTGTTTGTCATAATAGTGTATATTACATTACCTTTAATTTAAGATACTTATAAAAGTGTCAGTATTTTTGGAATACTTTCAAAAGTTAATTTTTTGTGAAAAAGTTGTCATTTTGAATCCCCCTTGTGGGCAGGAATAGGGTCAAATCTGTAATTTTTTTGGAGATATCCCCCATTTATGGGAAATGAAAGAAATTTTTTCAATTTTTAAGGTTAATGTCTTCGACTAGATACGATTTGTGTTTGTTTGACGTATCATTGAGAGAAATCAGTTCAGTGAGAGCTGAGAAAAAGTGGTGACAGGCACAAAAAAAAAATCAACACATCATAGTAAAATTATTACCTTCTCAGCTTAGCATCGAAGTTAAAATATAAAAACCAATAAATATATTTTATTCGAACAATTGTATTATCTAACAATTAAAAGCCTGAAATAATAAATCATGAAATTCCTATTTATGGCTGTGTTTTATATGAATACATATTGTACTTGTATACTGACACTAGTAGAGCGTTTGGTAACTAGCCAAATAACAGGGAAACAGTAATCATCAGCTTAAATAATGCTCAGAAATAGAATATTAAAATTAAAATTTTCTATATAAATCTCATTATAAATTTATAAATGTGACATCTGTCTCAAAATTTAATTGTAGCTTTTAATAAAACAGTAGCATGTAGCCAGTCAATCTGTCGCATTTATGCGGTTTATCATACATTAGTGTTTTAGTTAAAAAATTTACCTTTAAAAGGTAAATGATCATTTATGTCATTAACACAGCCCCATTAACCGTGAACGTGTGAATTACATGTGTATTTTTTATTAATAAATATCTAAATATATATATATATATATATTTATAAATAATGCAACATTATTATTTAGCAATTAATGATTCATTTTAGGTATAGTAAAATTGAAAACTGTTTTAAACATCGATTTTAATTATTTATACATAATTTATATTGTTTATAATTTATATAGTTCGTATTATAAACGTTTTTATTAAAATAATTTATTTACAATAAAATTTATTTTGTATTTTATTTTATAATTACCTGATCAGTGGGCATAAGAGAAAAGTCATCAGGTGGATTTGTAATGACGTATCTTTTTGAAGATGCGTCACAAGATGAACTTCGATCTCTGAACCTAAAAAAATATTTCAAAACCATCTGCATGAAAATAAATTCTAAAATATATCAAATATGATAACAGAATTATGTAAATTACTTTTACTATACAGAGTGACTTTTTTTTTATCATAACCCATTCTATTACTTATATATTAAAAATAATTTAAACATTTTTTTCGGGGGTACATATCATTCTTGAATTATTAGCTATGTAATATGTAAATTCGTCCCACATAACTTGTAAGGGTATCAACTTTGTTTATTTAAATATAATATATATTTTGATTTAATAAAATGTTTGAGTTTTTATTTTAATAGTTAATGGCATTCGAATGATGATTAATGTAACTTTATTTTTTTTATAAAATATAAAACTTTTAAGTATCAAATGTTTGAGATAATATTCATGTATAATAATGTACAAGGGATTACAAATACAGGTAGCTAATTGGATTTTTATGACGTCGTTATTCGCAGGTACGCAGCGTTTATAATCAATGGTAGTAGGACACGTTGTTCACGTAGTTTATAAATACACTAACTGGCAATACAGAAACATTTCTATCGATAAAGTTATAATTTACAATAAACGACGTCATAAAAAACAATTAGATATCTGTATTTGAAATCCTTCATGTATTATACAAGTATATTAAATTAAAAAATATGAAAATTTAATATCTAATAAACGAATTGTGTTTTGGTTAAAATTAAATTGCCATTTATTATTAAAATAAGACCTCAAACATTTTAGAAAATTTTAAATATGTGTTACCTTTTGAAAAAATTTATTTAAAAAGATATATTTTTTTATAATATAATAACAGTAATAAAGAAATATAAGAGAATCATCTTATTTTTCCTCGCCTTAATCCCAACTATTTGGGGTCATCCAATATTATAAAAGTATCTATTGATAATTATGATAAAATTAAATATTAAATATTGAGGTAAAATGACGGTCATTATTATACACATAATATATTCAAGGGCAAGGGTGATAAAATTTAAAAATTACCCATTTTATAAATGCAAAATCTAATATTTTTAATTAACTACAAAACCTGTATAGTTAGTTATTCATACCGGTACCTGTATAGACCAATACACAACATTCCATAAGATTTTAGAGCAGATACAAAAAGATCGCCATATTTTCCCGCTTCTCCAAATTGTGCTAAAGGACCATCGTACAACGAAATCTGCCCTACTCGACATCTATCTCTGTTGGATAAGCTTTCATCCGTACTAAACAAAGAAATACACACTTACTGTTAGTAATTTCAAATATTAAGAAACAAAAGAAATAATTTAGAATAATATGTATTAATATAGTTTTACTTAATACTAAAACTGAGTTAAAACGAATTTTAAATTTCAGAATAAGAGATTTTACAAAATTAAAAGTACATTTCAAACGTAGTATACATGACATATCATAAAAACTAAATAATAACACTAGATTAAATAACAGATTTTAAGTTTTTATCTATTATTACACTAAGATAAATTTTGAACATAAGTAGTCTTATTATTATTCCAAAATTAACTTATCTTTATATACAGCATGATTTTTTTATCATAACCCACTCAATTACTTACAGAATAAAACTAATTAATTTTTTTTTTGTGGTTATCTTTAGTTACATATTATTTTTGAGTTATTAACTATGTAACATTTTTTTCATCCCTTATACCTTGTAAGGGTGTCAACTCGGGGAACACATATTTTGAATTTAATAAAATGTTTTTAATTTAATAGTAAATGACATTCGAATGTTTAATATAACTTTATTTTCTTATAAGATATAAAACTTTAAGTTTTAAATTTTTGAGTTAATACACATGTATAATACACAAGGGATTATAAATGCAGGTAGCTAATTAGATTTTTATGACATCGCTGTCACAGTCACGGATTGTTTATTGTCAATTATGACTATCAATAGATATACTTATTGTATTGCCAGTTAGTGTGTTTATAAACTCACAACAATGTGCCTTATTACCATTGATAATAAATGCTGTGTACCTGCGAAAAACGACATCATAAAAACCAATTAGTTACCTGTATTTGTAATTCCTTGTACATTATACATGAATATTAACTCAAAAATTTGAAACTTTAAATGTTACATTAAAAATTCAAATGCCATTTACTATTAAATTAAAAAGTCAAACATTTTATTAAATTCAAAATATGTGTTCCCATTAAAAAAAACAAAGTTTACACCTTTACAAGGTATAAGGGATGAACTTATAAAGTATTAAATAGTTAATAATTGAAGAATAATGTGTAACTAAAGATAACCAAAAAAAAAGTTTTATTATTTTTATTCTGTAAGTAATTGAGTGAGTTATATTAAAAAAATAATAATATTAATTTTAAATATTACTATACAAAGAAAAGCTCACCTATATCCACCCCGAAGACCAGCACCCTCCGCTAGTATTAGTTCCAATTCAGGCGTTGCTCCTCCAGTTATTAATGATCGGATAAGGGTTAGTGCATTTTGGTTGAAGTACGTCTAAAACAAATCAAGCTGATATAATTTAATGGTATATTTTTTTTAATACTACACATATATTGTTATTTATTTATTAATGTACACTATTAAATTTTCATGATAGTTTTAAAACATTTTGTCGTCATATATTATCTTATTATATAATAGAACAAGGAAAAAAACGCTTTTCTGGGAAAATTACTTAGCGTGCTCGGATTTTCAAAAATTTTTTTTTCAACGAAAGTACTCGGTCACCAGACTCCGGGAAAATTATTGGCGAAGGTCGGAAAATTTTTGCCGCTTGCCCGCGAGCGTTTTAAAATTTCGACCGTTTTCGAGAAAAACGCTCGCTGACGCCAGCGTTTTACGACTTAAGGTTTGAAATTTTCATCAGACCCGCCCAATGACATTCCTGAGATATGATAAAAAAATCAATTCAATCCGTTCATTTTTCACTGTTTTACGAGCTTTTAGCTTCGATGCGAAGCGGAGAAGGTATTAATTTTACTATGATGTGTTTTTTTTTTTATTTTATGTCTGTTGCCACTTTTTCTCAGCTCTCACTGGACCGATTTCTTTCAAAAATACGTCAAAAGATCACAAATCGTATCTAGTTGAAGACATTACCCTTAAAAATTGAAAAAAATTCCCTCGTTCCCCGCAAATGGGGGAAATATCCAAANATTTAAATTATTTACCGTCGACATCAGTGAATCCAAAACACTAACGGCAAAAGCAGTACCGCAAGCGAATGGCTGTGTAAGGTATAGTTCGGTGTCAGGATCATCGTCGTCATCTTGATCAAGGAATTGTACGTTACTGTCATTAACCAATTCAGTAATCATAGGAACGTTTGCTCCATATACAGATCCTCGCCTTTGCAAAACTATCGGTCCACCCGCACAGTTTAAACTATCTGGGTCAAACTGTTTGGTTGATACAGTTTCGTCTAATCAAAAAATGAAATTGTCAAATTAGTAAGCATTTTTACATTATCAAACATCTTAAATTATAAATGTATACATTGAGTTATTGTGAAAATATAAAAATTTTAAAAGTAATAAAAATGTGTTTTTTAACACGCTTATATTAGTTTCACGTGTATTTCTAAAATAACTGTAATTTACGGAAGATAGGTATATTTATTCGAAAATAAAAAAATTGACAATAGCTTACAAAGTTTTGAAGTATAAGAGTTCTTATTTTTTACATACACTTATCGTGAATTACATAACATGTTACATTTGTAAGGTTTAAAAATTTCTTCGCGACTTTTAAATGAAACACTTATCTCGAAACATAAATGAAGTAGGCTAACACTTGTATTCTGTATAATGTAGTATTTACCTTGGGTGAGCACCCCAATAGTGTCATCGAAAGTCATCGCTTTAATGTTCAATGATGCTAAAATGGCCTCTTTGTCGGCCAATGTAGGATCGTCGTTACTAGGAACTTTTGCTGACAATATCACACACATGTCACACAAGTTAACGTTCACCGCTCGTAAATCAGCTCGGCTTAATGGGGATCCCTAAAAGTAAATATACATTAATGATTAATAAATTTAAAAATAAAAAAAATAACATCTTACGTTGAGAACAGAAATTTTTGGTAAGTTTTGTAACATTTTCCATTCACGACGGATGTAATCAACAGCGCCAACAATAACTACATGTTTTAATTCATGATAATGGAAATTTGAAGCTCTTAAAGGCATAACTAAATTCCTAAGTCCAATTAATGGAGAGTCTGGATCTGCAAAAAGACACACTACGACGTGACCATTTAACACAGTCATGGCTGCCTGGTTCCTATCCTGCAAACCAAATAAGTACAAATTAAATTAACAAAATACCCAATAAATTCAAATACAATGTGTATAAAAAATGAATTTTTAAATCTGCATAAAAATGATTAATAAATTTACATACGAGTATGCACTCTTCTAGACTTTTTGCTGAACTCCAATGAAACATACCAGTCGAGTCGTATTTCATTTCAGTCTTTTCAAAATCAAAATCTTTTGCTTGATCATCAGCAATTCCTATTTGAATACCATTGTTATTCATATTTGTACCCGTAGAGCCTCCGCGAGTAGTTGGTCTGAAATATAAAAAATAAAATAAAAATAACATAGCTTATCCATATATCGATTATATATATTAAATCATAAAAAAATAATTGTATAATTATCAAGCAAATGTAGTTAAACAAATTTAAAAAGCAATAAAACATTCTACAAAAAATAATAATAATAATGATAATAAACAATTAGCTCCTAAAACTAATATAAAAGAAATGATTTATTTAACTGTGTAGTTACCATCAAGAGGCGAAAGAATAAAATTCTTCTTTCAGCTTTAAGAAAAAAGTTATTACTATAATTTATTTTATAGAAGAATAAATATTTTTTGTATTTCTTGGGATATATTTTTTTTTCTAGAGCAGGAAAATCTTATGATTTTATTTATTACAAGAACATAAGTTTTAATATGTTCAAGGAATATTCTAAGAATCTGATTGTGTTATTAAAAAAAAAACTTATTGTTAATATTCTGTGAATAATAAAATTTCCAGAATATAAAGATATATCTGGTTTTCTTTGACATTATTTTTTAATTATTCTTATATTATGATCGTGGTAACTGTATAAAGGTTAAATGTGAGTTTGTTCTATCTATTACATGAAAAAGGTGTACTTTTCTTTTCTCAACATTTTTAAATAAATTTTTATTTTACCCTTTCTTATATTGTAATTATTTATTATCATAATCGTAAACTACGACTTAAAGTATGCAGACAATAAATCAAATATTCACTTGTTATAATGATAAAAACTAAAAAAAATTGTTTTAATACAACTTTTATAACAGAGTAATCGATAAAAGATATGACACATATTTTCTAAAAAACCATTGAATATTTTTACTTAAAGAAAATATTTTAGATAATTTTTTTTCATCACTTTAAGGATAAAAAGGCTAAAATAAATTTTTTTAAATTATTTAATTAATTAAATTATGTTTAGTTTTATTATATGGTAAAAAGATAATTTTAAAGAATTGCGTACTAAACTTTCTTTTATCTGTTAAGCCGCTTTAAATTGTTTAAAGATTTTGATTCTATTTTGATAAAAAAACCATCTTAAGATTGTTTTTTATAACCCCGATGACAACAATAATTTATTTCAATGGTCCATAAAATATTAACAATATTTATTTTTGCTATCATAAGTGACAAATATGATAAAAAAGAATTGTAAATATAAATTTGTTTATATGACATAATGAAAAAAATAATGTTTATTGTATGCTTTACAGCAAATTATAAATAAAAAGTTAGTCATAACATTGCTAATTTTAAACAAGTAATAACTGAAGTATGGTTCATTGGATAAACAAATTTATAAGAACAAAATTTTTTTTCTATCACATCATCAAACTAAAAATAAAGGTTTAATTTCCACTAAAGGAAATTCAACTTTTCTATTCACGAAAGAAATATAAAAAAATTATTTGAATACATATTCTTGCAGTTTTTTAATTTAAACAATATGTTCCTAAACAAAAATTTAAAAAAATTTCAATAGTTTCCAAGAAAATTAGTAACTTATCCTTAATTGATTACTCCTAATATCGAATAATAAATTAACAATAAATAAAATTTAAATGAATTAATCAATTTTCTGAAGATAGATATCACTAAAAGCGTTACTCTAAATAGGAATGAAAAAGTAAACAATAGCAGTAATGTGATATTAAAAGCAATAGCGTACAATAATTTTTTGACTTCATATGCAAGTTGATATCCAGCGTAGCTTCCTTCTTCTTGTTGTACTCTGTAATAATACCCAATATCCGACCATAAACAATTTAATTCACACCAAATGTGTTATAACTCAAATCACTTTTAGGCTTTTAAAAATGTTAAGTGTACTTTTAATTTCAAAATAGCTTGTTAGTTTTAGCTTTAAAAGTGAATGAATAATACTTATCTAAATTATACTACTTTTAACTTACCGTCCATTGTATGTTTGGTTTGGAGAACCTTTATCCGCTTGCCTATTAATTGGTTTAACTTTGTTTACTTGTTTTGCTACCGATATGATTGAATTAGGCATAGTTGTACCATTTTTGTTACCCATAACTGCTAAAACAATATTTTTCTATGAATAATACTGTTATAATTTAATAAAATAACAAATTTATTTAAATTTTTTAGAAAAATAACTCCATAAATTCTTAGCAAGATATAAATTATTATTTTATTGATATTTAACAATATAGAGTGTTCAGTAAGTAAGGAAACGGGTTCTATTGTTCTCATTGTTTTTAGCAATTGAAATGTTCCCTTATATACTGAAAAACTCCCTGTATATAAAAACAACACCAGACAATTATAATTCATGAAAATACGTATCAAACATCAACAATATTAATTTTACATTAAATTACTTTATAAGATGTGTGAAGACTCAATTTTTAAATTTAAAAAGCTCAAACAAGAAAAAAGTAATACTTTGTATTAAACGCCTTAACATATTATAAATATTACCAATAAAAGTACCAATTAATAACATACGAGACTATTTCGCTTGTTATTTTTCTGATATGTTAAATACCCCCTCAATTATAAACATGCGTAACTGACTAACTGATTTAGTAGAAATTGATCTAATGAAGAAAATGATTACTGGACAATACATTTTGAAACTAGTAATTAAGAAGTTATTGACATGTTCAATCTTAAGCGAGAGGAAAAGTACTGGTAGAAAATGATAAGTAATAATAATAACAACACACACGTCTCACCTGCAACCTAAATTATTAAATTTTAATGACTTTAAGTTACTTTAAGTTAAAATAAGTTACTGATCCAAAAGTGTTTGTCGACCTGTTATTTTCTTTATTAGATCAATATAATGAATTATGTATGTTATCATTAAAAATTGAAGTTAACAGCCTGATAGGGTACACGAGATTAACATTAAAAAATGTTTGAAGATTGATAAATTTATAAAAACATACCTAAAAGAAACCAAAAAAAATTTTCAATATTATTGAGAATTTTTTGAAATATTATTGCTAGTTCTCGACTAAATAAGTAGTTCATGATAAATAAATCATCTTGCGTACAGGTGATATAAATTTTAAGATTTATGCTATTGAAATAAAAAAAGGACATTAATTAAGTATTTCAAGAATAATTTTTGAACATTTTCGAATCAATAAAATATAACAAAATTCAGTTTAAATAATTATAGTCAATATTAAGTACTTTTTAGAATAATTTTATACAAAATATCAATAAAGTATTACTTTAAACTTATACAAACACATTCTAATACAGCTTACTTTTCATAAATATACGTAATAATTAGTAAAATTAAAACGAATACATTAATTTAAAAATAAACAAATAAACTTACGTGTAATTTCTTTTTCCTTTCCAACGTCACCTAAGATTTTATTTAAAAACAAAAAAACGTTAGTACACGTTATTGTTAAAATTAAAATAAATAAATTCCAAAATACACAATTAAAACTCATATCAAAACCAAAATATATATAATTATATATACCTACACTTGTATCAAAAAGCAACTTTTAAAAAGCCCAATAACATTAATAATAATTATTATAATATAGTGACGCTATTTTAAATCTAGAGCACATAAAGCAATCAAATCTGGTTTTTAAATCCACGCATTTAATATAAATTTTAATGCTATTTAAAATATCTAAAAAATATTAATAATATTAACAATTTTTTTTAGATAAAATAAAATTTATGAAAAAAACTCTTTAAATTAATTCAAAACTACATATCTTATAAAACAAACATTTTTAGAGTCGTAAACAAGTGGTATCACACACCACACATCAAGGGAAAAATTATAAAAAAATAGATGCAAACTTATAAATCCTGGCATTAAAACAAAAAAACGATGTTTTGCTGTTGGTGAACATAATTTGTAAAAAAATTGGTGTTCTGGATTGTAAAATAATGTAAAAACATATAGTAAAATTATATATTTTATAGTAAATATACACAAACCAACAAAAAACAGAAAGTGCTTATTTTATCATGTGTGACTATTTGGCGTGAAGGATAAATAAAAAAGGAAAGGAAAGAATAAATAGTGCCACATCGAAGATACAACACACATTAAGTAAGATTTAAAGGCAAAAGCAACAGCGGTTTTTTGTTTTTTATTGTTGTACCTCTGATATTATGTACTCTCTTTGGAAGAGTTGGTGGAGTTTCCGTGGGGGGGGGATGATCGTCTGAAAGAACACACATTCCAATATTCACTAGCCGTATTTATAAAATTTATTAAATAAAGCAACCCTAATAAAAATCTAAATATATACCTTTATATTTTAGCCATTGATTGAACGTTATTAAACAATGTTTATTTTCTTTTGTTAGAATGTTTAATATTAAACTATGGATTTATTTTGTGCATATTGGTTATGAAAATTTTATATTTATTTTTAAGTATGACAGCTTAAACTTAAAACAAAATCAAAAATTATGCAATAAAAATATTTTATAATTAAAATTAAAAAAAAATTAATTTGTAATCTTATGTAGATTAGAAAAAAAGAAATTTAATTTTTAGTATAATTGGTTCTTGTCAAAATAAGAAGTCTGTTAATTCTTCAATTCCTGATATTTGGAATCCCGACAATATATGGTAAAATTCTATATATTAATTGGTATAACCTAAGTCTACTTACTTTTAGTAATCTAAAAATTTATTTTGCACATAAGACATCCATGCAAATTTTAAAACGTGCATTTTTCATCGAATCACACATAAAATAAACGTTTTTATTAGTTCAGTTGAATAAAAAAGAATAAACGTAAAACAAAGTGGCGAGCACGAAATTTTGTTTGAAGGAGAAAAGTCCTTTGTTTATTATTATTATTATTATAATTTTTTGACTTTTCACATATTTAAATTTAATTATTTTTATTAATAAAAATTATTTTTTGACGGCTTAAAACTCAAACAAAAAATTTTAATTAAACGCATTAATTTACAATAACTACCCCTTTGGTTCGATTAACATAGATAAACATTCTTACTCTAGATAAATAAGAAACAATATCTTCAAAATCAGATTAATTTAAAAATTTAATAAAGATCATTTTTCTCTAATTGTATAATTGCCTTATAAACAATACAATAAATAATATTTGAAACAAATATAATTTTCAAAATAAGCCAAAAATTTGTGTTACTTTTCCAACACAATCGTTTTTCTAAAAATGTATACAGAGGAAAGGGTTAATCATAAACTACTCGATTTCTTTCAAAATAAATACAATATTGAAAAAAAAATATCGATTCCTTTTAGATATATATATTTCCCAATTTATTAACTATTCATTTCTTTTTAGGATCATCCCTTATAACTTAAAAGGGTGTCAAATTTATTATTTTAAATGGTAACATAAATATGAAACAAGTCAATAAAATATTAATAAATCGAATTAATACAATGGCTGGTCGATGACAACTTTGACCAAGTACTTTGTTTGTTATTCTCATTTTTAAACCTAGACGAGACGAAATGTACGGGCAGGAAATGACTATTGAAAAAAATAGCAGCAACTACTCTCCACCGCCAGTCATTATTTTAAATTGTTAATAGCTTTCGAAGTATAGGTCCAAAAGTTAGTACAGATCAGTCATTTTCTTAATTAGATTATTTCTTATTTTATATATAAGCTAGTTAAATATATATGTTAATACTTAAAAGAATAATATTGATTCCCCTTTAGGTTATAAGTGATGATTCTAAATAGTCATTTTTAGCTAATAAATCAAGAAACATATATAACTAAAAGAAATCAAAAAATTTATTTTTAATATTGTATTTATTTTGAAAAGACCAACCTTTCAAAATGCAAGAGGAATCTTATAAGTATTATTTAAAAATAATTTAAAAAGAGTAGTATGAAATGAGTTTTATCTTTATAAAAAAAAAATTATATTGCATATTATGCTTAAGTGTTAAATCCAATTACATTATAGTTAAAAAAAATAAACAAATAAATAAAATAATAATAAATATATAATAGTCTTTCACATAAACGGCTGTAAGATAATTTACAACATATATTAATTCACGTATTTCACAATAAAAGCTAATTTAAAACATGGAACGAAAGCTGTAAATTATGATATTTTGTCATTTTTAAGACATATTGACCAATATAAAAGCATGCAAAATACAACCTTACCAAATTCTACAATAATTATAACTAAGGACAGAATAATAATTTTTACATTGGTTTTAAGATGGCAGTATAAACTACTTGTGTGGACACACAAAAACACACTTATGAAATTAAAAAATTGTGTTAAAATTAAATTTTTTCAGAGAAACATATCACAAGTACAACAAAACTGCGTTAACAGTGAATTCTGTGAAATTATTACTGTTGTCATTAATAAAAAATCAAATGCATTTGGTTGAAGAATTTATTAAATTTATTCAGTATGTATAAAGCGTACAGGAAAAAAACACACAAAGTAAAACATTTAAGAGCATAGAACGTGTAATAGAAGTGAAAAATCCTTAGCCTTTTATAAAACCACAAAAGGATAAAAACAAATTTTCATACTGTGGTATTTTATGTTAACAAATAAAATAAACAGTATTTTTACAGTAAACTATAGAAAACCAGCTAAAAAAATAAAGGCAACAACTCGTAGACAAACAAGAAATTGTTAAAAGAAGATTATGAACGTACTTGCCCGTCCGACCATTTGAATAGCGCGAACGCCTTTCCGGAATGTCGCCACTGTGTTACATTAGAAAAAAAATAAACAAAATTTGAAAAACGTAGGAAATTATTTTATTAGAATTTCAAACTCTATTGAAACAGATATTATTACACAGCAAACATGTATGCTAATATTCTCAAGTATTTTTAGTTCTAAATGAAAACATTGCACAAATATTTATACCTGACTTAGCATTTAACAATGATCGTAATTGAACATAAACTTTTTTATTTTGTACAGTTTTTATATAGTTAATTTACCATTATGTAAGTAGTTCCATAATTTTAAGGGTAGGTATAAAAAGTGATCCATTAAGGATAAGATGCCTATTTTCTCGGAAACTATTGAATATTTTAAATTTTTGTCAAGTAAAATATTGTTTGATTAAAAAAATTCTTCAATAATATTTTTATTAATAATTATTATTAATTAGTAATAATAATAGATATATCATTATTATTATTATATATTAAGTTGCCAAAAACATATACAAAGAGATCATATTTATAGATTTAGTGTAAATGTTATTATGATCATGTATAATGAAGAATAACAGTTGAAAAAGAGTGAGTAATTTTCATTTGAGGTCAGTTTTCATTTACGGGAAAACTAATTAATTATAAATATACACGTGTAAATAAAATGATCAGCATAAAAAAGAATCTCTTAGTAAAAATATTGCAAGTATTTTATATAAGTTAACCTTTATTTGCCTAGATAATAATGAATCTGTTAGTATTAATTAAGTCACAATACACATAATTTAATCTCAAAAATCAAGTCTTCAAAAAAAAAAAAAAAGATTGATTCCAATTGGAATTGAGTTTGAACAGTTTTTATATGGTTAGAATGTTATTATTTTATCTAACATATTAACGTACAAACAAATTGACTTTCAAAATAACGAGCACTTTCAAAGGATTATTTTAATAAGTACCCTCAAAATTATAATTATGTGCCACCATTCCGGTCTCCATCATAATCATACCAACATCTGCAACACGGCGTCTTCTTTTATAGTACTCATATGTAAATTCGTGTAATTTAAAAAATTAATTTCTTATATAATTTATAAATCATTTTTATAATGCTAAAAATAACTTCGACTGGATAGTTCAACATGAAAATCAGTAAAATCATGACGATACAAATGTTATCATAGTATTAAGAGGGTGTAATAGGTAATGTAGTAGTCCTGTTACATTACATGCTGCGTTATTACATAGCTTTTTAATGAAAAAAAATTAATTCTACTATTTATTATTATTATAAGTATAATTAATAGCAGCGGCGCAACTAAGGGGCAGGGGGTTAAGGCTTCCCCTATTGATAGCAAAATTAATTTCTAAAATGAAACAATGAGCAAAAAAAAAGGATCAAAAAATGAAATTTGGTAGTTTTTTTTTAATAGTAAAAAAAAATACTAAACTACACAATTTCGTAATAGCCGCCTTCCATTGTGAAATTCTGGCCTAGCCATTGATTAACAAAAATAAAGCTGCTCAAACTCGTCAATCTCGTGATGGTCGTGAGCACCGTTATCTTACTCAGGTTGTTAGGTTACACGGAATGTTATCACTATTGAAACGGCGCTTGTATGCATCTAAAGCGCTAGTAGTAAATGACCCTATTTTAACATTCTAATAATTGAAAGAAATTAAGTATTTATATAATATTGCAAATTTTAGTTAAGGTCACTTTATTTTATTAATCCTAGATAAAAGCTATATCAATGATTTAACTATTTTTTATTTAATTATCTAACACACTAACATGGGTTTAATCATAAGTTTAGTCCCTCTGATTCGTAATTTTATTTTAATTGTCATAATATAAAAGGCCATATAAAATTGTTAAATTAACTTAAATTTTCTAACTCTCTAAAAACTGTTAACGAATATACGAAATAAAACTTTCTATACAATGCAGACATTAAAGAATTATTATATATTGTAATAACTAATTTTATTATTATTACATATTAATATTATAGTTAAAATAGTGTAGTTAATAAAACTACAATAATTTATATTACATATTATGTAACAATAAATGAGTTCTGTTTATTATATTTAGTGATATAAAAATACTGTATTTAATATTTCAGAGACATTATAAATGTATAATACATATTATTTTAGAAAAAATTGTGTTAAAAATATAATGCAAACAGTATAAAATAATAAATACGATTTCAAATATTAGCATTTTGTTGGTAGAAATAATTTAACTTAAATTTTAAAATATTTTTAAAAAGTGAAAACTACGCTACGATAAAATATCAGATTAGTTTTATCTTATGTACATTTTATTTTTCTTGAAATTATATTCTTAGTAATTTGTTTTTAGTTTCACGGAAAATTTCAAAAAAAATTAAAAAATGTATGTTTTCCTTATCTTTTACGTGTTACTGTCAAGCCACTTACTACTAGCGCTTTTAGTTCACTATAAACACCACTTTAACGGGACTAAAGCATTGGACGTATAAGCGTCGATTGCTAACCGTGGTCGTGAACGATTCCAAGAGATGGGTGTTATAATGTAAATTGTAAACAAAGAAAATGATAGAGTTTCTAGTAATAATACCTCAATGTGCAAGTAGAATCAAAGATAATACATATTGATTGTTAACAGAGGTAAAGTATTAATTTTAATTAATATACTTAAAAAATTAAAAACGTTAAAAATTTAACGTAATTTAAAAAAACAGACTTCAACTTTTAATTACAACTACAAATCAACATCGTATGTTTTTGAAATTATTTATAACTTTTTAATATCAAGTTATTCTGGAGCATATTTATGTTAGTTATTCGACAGTATAGTACTCTATAACCAGGGTTGTTAAAACACATGTTTATAAAAAAACTGTTTAAAACATTTTAAAAATGCCATTAGACCATCAATGTAAATTTTAAAATTATTGTTGTTTAAAACACGTTTAAAATGCAACAACTCTGCCTGAACACTATATTTTTATTGTAAAATAATTATATTCATTGATATTATTAATTTTAAGTATTACTACTTACAATTTTTGCATTTGCATTTCTTTATTAATGTTTCGTCTCTAATTTCTTCATGACAAGCTTTGCAATAGTACCACGCCCTGAATTGTTTTAATAATAATAATAATTTATAATACAAAATAAATATTTATAAATTAATCACTCTTATACAAGTTAATTCATTAAGGATTAGACACTTATTTTCTATTTTTATTTATTTTTTGGTTAAACTTACAATTATAAAATTTTAACCTATAAGTATATAACTTTAAAAAAATAAAAAAAGTTAATAGACAATATCGAAAATTCGCAACAAATACTGGTATTTTCATATACTTTTCTAGTATACTGCAAAAGTATACCACGCACTTGAAATAATAAGAAAAATCTTTCTTTTTATAGTAATAGGTTTCAAAATTGATTTCTAATAGTGAATGTCTTTACACAGGCGCAGTAAGGTAAATTTTTTAGAAGCATTTAATTCAATTTAATCACAGCTAAAAAGTGTTTTAATAAAAATTCTAGTGTTTTTAATTATAACGGTGAAATAGGCTCGAACTTCTTAACATTTTATGCCTATTTTTGTCATTTTTTTTTTTCAATTTTTATTATATTTTATTTATTAAGAATAAATATGGCCCTTCTTTTTTAAATATATATGTATATTTTTTTGTTTTTTTAAGCCTATTAAAGACCATAGCAGCCTCTCCCAAATGAGGTGGTTTCTTAACCATTGATACTTCGGAACGGGTGTTTAGTCAATCGCCAGAGAGAGAGATGCCGACTCCAATTACCGAACTGATCTTTCGTTAAGCAAATGAAGCCGCCCGTGACCGAGTTTCGAATACAAGACAGTACGCATCATGTACTACCGAGTAATTGAATCGGCCATACTGTCCCTCTTTTTTTTTAATGTATATATTTTTAAATAACTAATACATAATGTTTTTTTGGTAAAAATGTACAGAACAATAAAATTTGGTTATTTATTATTACAATAATATAATAATAATTAATATTTAAAAAAAAATTATTATAATTAAAGTTAAATTACATAGATTTTTATTTACAAGTTGAATTTCAGCTTCAATATCTTGTTGAGAAGGTATTAGTTTTCGTTTTTTTTTTTAAAGTATGGGCTGGTTACAAAGTTTATATTAATTAATGATTCTGTTTGATTAAGTACAGTCTACATTTTTATTTAGGCCGATAGTTTGTTGGTCTGAACAAAAATTTGCATTTAAAGGTCCAATTTGGTACGATCTGATCGAAATTTTTATTTAACAGTCAAGTTTAGTTCTTCAAAAAATTCGGACCATATATCTCCGGTATTATTTGAGTTTTTTAAATCAAAAACAACATTTTCTTTTAAGAAAATTTAGAATATTCAATATTTTCCAATAATATGAGTGTCTTATCCTTAATGAACCTCCTTGTATAGTATTAACAGATTATAAATACATAATTTAAAATGACATATTTTAAGAATAAAACTCTAGTTCAAAATAAAAACAACTTGAAATTTTTACCAATAAATTTAAAAGAATTTTTTAAATTAATTTAAAATCTGTACAAAGCTAAAACCCACTAAATTCTTACTGCGTCTTTTATAAAATTGATTATTAAGCTAATTAAAATTTAACTCAACAGGTATATAATTTAAGTATATTAACTTAAATATATGTGTTTATTTGTTTACATAAAGTAATAATAAAAAAAATGATGAAATCATTCAACGCAGCTTTGATACATATCTTATTTTATAAAAAATTGTCTAAAAATTAAAACAATTTAATCAAACCTTTTAACTTCATCTGCTGATTGTGCAATAAAAAATCCCTGGGTGCTGGCTTGTATTTTTGATCCTCTGGGGTTTATTGATATCTTGCTATCCCGACCGTCTTCACCTTTTATCTCAATAGCCAATAACAGCAGTTTTAACTTGGTGAAGCATAACCTATACGTTTGAACAAAACTCTACTTTATCCTTTATTCGAATTTTGATTTTCGGACAAAATGTTAGATATAATATTTCATGTGTCTTGAGCTATTGTAAATAAATTTTACATGCGTAAAGTGCACAGTTAAACAAAACATACACATGCTATAAATGCAGTGATTTTTTACATGGCAAACTTAAATGCACAATAGTTTATCGAAACATTTATCTATTAAATATTAATTCATCTTAATTAGTAAAGAAGAATTGCAACAAATAAAAAAAATTTAAATACATTTTATATAGTGAGGCATTGCCCGTATAACATTTTTAAGCAGCCAGCCACCCCAATTATACAGAAAAAATTGTAGTATAATGATTAATAGTATAAGATACCAAAATACTTTTTATGAATTCAGCTAATTAGTAGCGTGTGGTAATTAAAATGTCAATATTAGTAATATATAAATTACTATTTATCTCTTATTTAATACTATAAAACTTCAACATGGTATAATATTTAAAAGATAATAAATATTATTCATAATACTCGTCTTTAAAAAAATTTCCCATCAACTGATTGTCTTAGAAATAAAGAAATTAGTGACATAATGAAAAGTACCTCCGTTATATGAATGTACATTGAAACATTTGTCTTTTGATCGGAAACTGGGTATTCATATACAGAATGATTGTTTAATAATGACTTATATGTCTTTATAATATAAAACATATTATAATTTTTTCTTTTCAGAAGTCAGTAGTATCATGTTTTGTGGGAGAAATAGTGTGCCCGAGCAATATTTAATGATAAATATTGTCACAACTTCATCACGCTTCCAGTCTATATTTTAAAATGGTTATAACTTTTGAAATAATGGGTCAACAGCTGTCATCGACTAGTCTTAGATTGGTTTTTATTTTATAAATCAGTTACATAGGTACGAACATATCATACAGGATGATTTAAAAAAAAAAAGTTAAATTATCTGATAAATATATGAAACTAAAAAATATCAAAAATCATTTTCTTAACATAATTATTATTTTAAAGGAAGTCAAGCGGCTAGCGTTAAAAGAATTACTTTGTTCATGTTTTCAATTAAAAAACAAAAATTGACACAATTTTAACGAGAAGACCAAATGTTTTCAGGAAATTATAGAATATAGGATTCTTCTGATAAAAAAAATGTATATTTATATGTTTTATATTTTTAAAGATGTTGAGTTGTAGTTAAATAATCACCTTGTATAGTAGATAGCCAGCATGAGTTCCGAAGATGGTTTCACTTGAAAATCTATATTTTTAGTATAGGTGGACCAAAAATTTATTTAAAAAGGATTCTAAGTTTCTATTTCACAAACGTAAAGTTTAGACACAAATCATATAGTAATAAATAACCATTATTGATTAAAAAAAAGTTTGACGATTATCTTTGCATGAAGTATTTTTTGAAGACTTCGTTTTTTACCGCCTACTCTTTAATTATAATACTGATACTATGAAAATATTAATGATACCGTAACAAATAAATAACATATTGAATTACAATAGAGGTCAAAATGATAATGTATGAATTTTTCAGGTATACTTTTCAAGCTGAGATATGAACAACATTGAATAACAAGTAGTTAATAATATCTCTACAAGTTAACATTAATAGATCATTGAAGCTAATCAATTACTAAGGAAACATAATATATATTCTCGTTTTAAATTTTATTTATTTTATTAAGTTTAACAGTAACGATAGATAATGTCAGATATTTTTTTCAGAATGATCCCACTAAAAGACATCAATACCAATGTTAAACTGCGTGACTAAAAATATTTTGATAAAATACAGGTACAAAAACTAGTGTCATGATGATGTTGAATTAGTTGACTACAGATGAGTGAAAGAATTTTCATCAACTTTACTATACATGCAAATAAGTAGTATTATATACGATATTCCTCATTGTATTTTAAGTACAATATGTGTTCCTTAAGAACAAATTTTGAAAGACTACTCTTACAACAGCTACCCACATGCTCATTTTTCTTTTAAAACACAAACCAAAATATAAATTATATGAAAATTCAGTAATAACTATAGTAATAATAATTTTATAAATTAATCATGAAAGTGAAACGTTTTTTCGTTTTAATATTTACATAACACATTATAAGTTTTCACCACACGCTACTATTAAAATTGAACGCGGTATAAGTCAATATCATCATTTAAAAACTTTATCAAATACCATTTTCGTATGGAATAACTTTAATAGTTCATAATTAAATAAAAAAAATTAACAACTTTTTAATAGATTTTTATAGATTTATACTATAATCAATTTAGACTCGTTACAATGCAATAAAAACTGATAAACTGTTTTTTAGTCAATTTTTTTGAAGAGCTACAAAAGTTGATAAAATGTGTTTATTTGTGAAAATATAAAACATCAAAATAGAGTATTATTGCAAAAATGACATAAAAATATAAACAGGAATAATAACCTCTAATTGTAAACATTTTATGCGTGGGGGGCATGTTTGAGTGTTGTTATATCACACACAACATACACCGCGTTCAAATATCTAACACAATATCCTACTAGATATACTTTACAGAAACTAAAAGTAAATTAATGGTACATGTTCAGACAAATGAAATATTCAAGTAAATAGCTTCGAGTAACTAAAATTTAAATGGCTAGAGGATAGAGAATTTGTTATAATATGTATGATGTGATGGGAGTGTGAGAGTAAGACATAGGGACTTACTCGCTGGCTTGCGGAAACGTCATGCCGGTGAACGATGGGGATAGGGTTTCCGTATACATCTCGCAGCCGGTCCCCTGCAGATAGTCGTTCTGCCACGCTTGCGTATCCGGAGACTGAAATACACCAAACTCCACACTCTTCACAGGAACTATACACGGTATCAAACGCTCTATCACATCTCTACTCTACATCACATTCATCGGGTCGCAGACCGAAAATAAAAAAAATGATAAAAAAAAAAAAACCAAAACAATATCAAAATCAAAATAACAAACAAAATTAAAAAAAAAAAAATAAAACATAATTAAGGAAAGAAATGGATATTATTTAGAGGAGTTAAGATGTTAGAAAAAAATGTTTGCCAAAATATTAATTAGCTATGTACATCAATATACAAATTTCAACATTTATTTACCTTAAAAATTAAATTAAATATTATTTTAGTTTAAATTTAATAGTTTATTACTGTTTAATTATTTATATTAATGTCTTTCATTTTTTTATTATGAAATAAAATATTTCATACAAAATAATATAAAAATATAATTTTATAAATGAAAAATATTATTAGTAATATGATTTCGGAAATATTTCGAGAGAAAAAAATAACGATATTATTATTATTAGCTAGACTTTGTGTACTCGGTCGACGGAGTCTATTTTCATAAATGTTTAAAACAATTTTAAATATCTATATAAATGTTGTTTAAATAGTAACAGTCTAATTTAGATATTTTATGAAACAATACTAAACAACAATTATGTATATTAAATTGTAATATAAATATACAAGCGAAAATGTCGAATTTAACAGTAAAAGTAAAGAAGCTTCGATAAGTTTTATTAATAATTTGGCTGGATTTTGAATAAAATTAAATAAATAACAAAATAATATAAAAATCTTCGGAAAAATAAAATAAATTAAAAAAAAAAATACTTCCTCAATGATGTGATTCGACGATGACTATCTACATTCATATAAATATATATCCTGCCACTAATACCATTGTTTCGCGTCTGAATATTATATTCTTTGTCTATTTAGCATGCACAAGTAGTGCGAATTCATCTCATAAAAAGTAAAAGAAAATGTTCAGACGTAAAACATAAAAGCTTACAAACCCGATTCGATGTTTGATTATGCTTTTATTTTTATGTAATTTTTATATTATTATGACCGTCCAATTTCAATAATTTAGTCAACTTATCAACAAAATTACTATTTGCACTCGGATAGACCGTGTGGTAAATTTTAAAAGCATATTCAAAAAATCAAAAAAGGTTATAGTTATTACTTTAAATAGGTATTAAGAATCACAGGAAGAGATACGTGCAATGTACTACATGATGTATTACAATTTTTAAAGAATAATTTATTTTATTTTATAAAATTACGAAACAAAAAAAATTATATAAAGTGAAGTGGAGTAATTGTAAATAATAATTTTAGATAAATGCACAAGTTTTTATTTTGAGCTTACGTTTAATATAATAACAACACATATAACCATCAGAACTTTTCAATCTAAAACAAAATCTACCAAATATCTTAAAAGAAAGAATTAATTTGCAATTACTCCATTCGATTACATTTACCCCCCTCCCCCCTTTATAATATTTCATTAAACGTTCGTAATACAAAATGCATACATACAGTTGTTTATTATTCAAAAAATTAATATACAATAATAAAACATCAACAATAATAATATAGGTACAAGAATTGTATAAGCTATTTTAAACAACTTTAGAATAGCGTGGCACTTGCACGTTTCTTATGCTTTTGCAGAACCCCAATATTTCAGCCATGTGCTAAGACGATAGATTATTTAACGAAGGCCAAAAAGCAAATTAAATCATATATAGATATTAATTTTCATATCGAGAGTGAATAAAATCGTAGATTAAGTGAAAGGTAATATTTTATTGTTCAAAGGGTCTCATGTGAAATGTTATTTATTTATTAATGGAAAAAAAACCCTATCAGTATTTCAACATAATATCCCCCTTGATAAATGAAGAGAAATTTTTAATTTCTTAGCCAGTCGCCCGAGCCCCTTTGAACGAAATAAAATACAGTATTTGTATGCAATGTTTTTTGAGGCGCATATAAACAAAAAAAAGAAAAAAATATTTTTTGCAACACGTGGCACAACAACAGACTTGAGATGCAAAAGTCATGTCAAATATCTGATGTAAAAATAAAATAAAACAAAAACAATTTCGCCGCCGGTACACATGTTGGTCACCTAATTAAAGTCCACTTACTCAGTGGCATGCGCAAATGGCATGCCAATGAATGTCGGGCTCAGCGTTTCCGTGTACATCTCCATTCCGGTACCACGCAGGTAGTCGTTCTGCCACGTTTGTATAGTATCCGGTGCCACCACGCACCTCGTATTCTGCTAACAGATATTGTCTAACACACTTATTCACCGCAATCGATAAAAGTTTTTATTTTATCATTAACTTTATCAAGCTCATTAAGAATATATATTTAAGACTTAGAGAAATTTACGATCCAGTGAGATAAAAGGTTAATGTTAGATTTCAATCAAGTCCCCAAAAATAAATGAATTATTGATGTGTTTATTTAAGTTGCCTATAACTTAATAGGCATTGTACTGATGGATAGACTAGAGATATAGAGAGAGAGAGGTGTCTATAAAGCAAATAAAACTAATAAAACAATAAATACTCACCGTTTTGAAAGACCTCATAGCGAACAAATTCGCCATCATTGTAGAGAAACCTGGAGCTAGACAACTTTGAGCGATGAAACCGAGTTTCAACTCAGCCAAGCAAATGACATCGTCGCCTTGTTTCCAGTCCCACGATGGAATGTTTAGTAAATACGCCTATAAATTAAAACCGTACAATCAATATATGAATAATTATTTATTTAATTGTTCTATAAAGATTTATTTATTTAAAGATTTATCAAGATAGATGGTGTGCCCGAGTCGGTAACGCGGCAGTGCTTGACGCGCATTGTTTTGGGTTCGAAACTCAGACACGAGCGGCTTCATTCTCCGAGCGAGAGATCAACTCGGTAATTGGAGTCGCCATCCCTCTCTCCGGCGGCGGACTTACCACTCGTTCCGGAGTAACAATGGTTAAAAAAACCTCCTTAATTGGAAGAGGCCGCTATGGCCTTTAATAGGCTTATGAATAAAGTGTTAAAAAATAAATAAATAAACGTGTATCAAAGTACGAATTAGAGGATGTCACTTGTAATATTTAACAGTGCTCGAATTGGCCAAAAATAAGTAGGGGAGCTCAACTTAACAATTTGAAAACTGCGTCCCTAGCATTTTGAAGACCTTTTTTTTTATTTTTACTCATTACTTTATTTAGTATTTATTAATAAATTATATTTCATTATATAAAATATTATATATTTTATTATATATTCAAAAAAAGTTGGGGTGCGCAAAAAAATTTAAAAAAAAGTAGAGGAGCTACGTCCCCCTGCGCACCCCCCCAATTCGAGCACTGATATTTAACATATATTATATCCAATATAACATAACTAATTTATCAAATTTTCAAGTAGATTTTTATTAGTATACTTTTAAACATTTTTAATATTTTAATTAATTTAACGTATAAACGCACTTTATTATGGTACTGCATGAGTTGAATAATGACCCTTATGTCGTCCGAGTAATTTTTGATAGAAATAACCCTCATAATATTGGCGGCATCTTCTGCATCAGGATCTTGACAGTATTTATTTGCTAAAACCAAACAAGCGTCGGCCTCATGAACCTAAAATAAGAAGTTCAAATTTTAAAGCAATTTAAAAATAAATTCCAAAAAATACTAAATATAAACATTTTTTTGGACGTAAAACAATAAATTTTAATGAAAAAGAAATTTTATTTTAAATCAAAAAAGAGTAATTTAAATATTATTTATAAAAAAAAAGTTTTTAAGTAGAATTGTACGAAAAAATTACATTAAAACTATTAAGGTACATATAATGTCCAATTATCAGGCAAAATATATTTAAAAACAATTAAAACTATTTTCTATAATAAAATTTAAAACAAGCAATACTTTCTTTTTATATTTACAAATAATACTTTCGTGCAACTAATATTTATTTATAAATTTAAAATTTCTGTTAAGCATAACTGTGTGATATTTATCTAAAAAAATTGGTGCAATATATCCATACAAATGTCAATGGCATTAATAATTTAGTACATGTATGTACTTTGCGATAATGAACATGAAAAATATGATAAGTTGTGGAGTCAAGTATTTCATTTAAAGGACGTTCATCTGTTGGCTTTTCACTGCTAGTCAGCATAAATAGTTTTAAAGCATGCGCTGTTAGTATAAACTTTTACGAGAAATAAATATTATGAAGTTTTATTAAAAAATTTTTATCAAAAACTTTATGCATGTATCGGTTAGTGTTTTTAATTTTAAATGATTATTAATATTTTCATCACAAAAATCCATCACCAGCATCATATCAATTCAAAAATCGCAATTTGTGCTTAAAGCCATTTTTTTGGACATACCTTAACCCTTTGTAAATCAATAGGGTTCATTATAGAACCCTGGAAAAACTCAACAGTGGTAAAATGTCGCTTGAAAAGTCCTTCCAACTCCAGGTCAGGTGGCTTCCTACGATTTGGAAAATACCAAAAATAACTAAATTGAAGCACAACTAATACTGATACATACATCTTCTATTTGAAACTGCATTTTAATTAATGTAAAAATATCTTACCATACTCAATAAATAATATTCTATTTAAAACCCTTTTAACAATCTAACTATGTTATCTAGTACAATTATAAACGACTCTAAAAACTATTATTGTTAACTCTTATTACTCACACACATTGCATGGTTTAATTGTTTATTATAATTTATTCATATAGAAAAAACTAACCAGAATATTGTCCAAAACATTTATAACTACGATTCTTGTATTGTTTAGTTAAAACTATATATATATATTGTCGATGTATGTTTAGAGTTCCCATGAATATAATTATGATAACTAAATACATGGTCAAAGCAAAATAAATTTTTGTGTTTTACAGTTTCAAAGGCTTTTTTGGCTTCAATCTAAAATACTGAATGAAATATAGAGGCTTTACAATCTAAATGACGATAATATAATAAAAATTATCTTATGTCAGTGTAACTCAAATAAGGTAGGTAATACCCAAAAACAAAAAATTAAGTATTTAATTATCTATCTATAGCTAATAAAGAATCATTTATATACTGTAATCAGACTACAAGTAGCTTTTCATAATAACCGGTCTATACATGATCATAAATGAACACAATTTGTTAAGAAAAGGGTCACGGAAAAATTGGGATGGGGTGAAAATTTACCTTCACCCTTTCAAGATCTACGGCATTCATCATTGTACCCTGAAAAAACTCGACAGTGGTGTAGTGACGTTTGAGCAGCCCTTCCAATTCTAAATCCGGCTCTTTTCTGTAAATTACACAAACTTCATACCTAATGTTTTTCCACTTAATATCGTACAAAGAAAAAATATCATATGATACAATAATAAAAGAAGAGTCCAAATTAGATGACGGCTATAGTATTTATTTAGTATAATGTTTACCGTCATCATATTTCTAAATTTCTTCACAAAGTATACATTTATTTAAGTGCAATTTTTTTTTACCTGTGTAAAAATACGACTTCAACGTCCACGTCTTCCCTGTCTTCGTGCAAAAAGTCTTTTAAAAAGTGAGAAACTGATTCATATGTGATGTGTCCACAGACAACAATATGTCTATATATTAAAGATACATACAAAATAATTAATATTTTAATCAACAAATGTTTATCATTTAAGTGTTTTTATAAGCACATGATAATAACGACATTTATGTATACTAACAGGATATATACTACAGTCCAATCCTAATTATTTTTTTAGAATAGGTCTACACCGAAGCTTGTAATGATAATGTGTGCACTTTTTTGAAAAATAAAACCAAAACAAAATAAAAATAATTGAACATAATTATGTGATTACAACTAAATAGTGGTATTCACATATAATAAAGATTAACTTGAGTTTTCTGTCTAACTGCTTTAACACTTTATAATTAATTTAACTTTATATTTTCTGTTTTGGAAGTATTACTATTCATTGAATGATACTATTTTATCATTGGCGATAACTAAAAGTTTAAAGCGTGAATACTGGTGTGTTCAAGCTACGATTAATATACAATATTAATTTATTTTTATTAATTTATATAATACTGATTAACGATTGTGTTATATTCACAAACAAATTGAAATTAGTCTAAAAACAGAATTCAGGCAAACTTAATATTATGATTACTGATGCGTGCAATAATTTTACATGAAATAAAAAATATATTGTTTGATAAATAAACGTATTTTAGCGGGATTTATGTTATAAATTACATATTTATTCACACAACATTTGAGTTAAATTAATTTTAGCAACTCGGCACGGTGGCTCAAGTTGCAGCACTGTGTACTTTTTGAAGGCAATTGCAAATGAACTATAGAATAATGTGTAGTTTAAAATTTCTTTAGTTTTGTGAAAAAAAAATAATTGATTAAATAAACTAAGAAATGTTAGAAAATGTGCTTATGATAAGAAAATTAACGAATTGTATGCCCTAAATTTTAAAGACTGTATATATTTGAAGCTTATAACAAGAATAAGTACAATTTAAAGTAAATATAAATGTTCATTCAAATAAAAACAATTAGATGTACGTAACCACAAATTGTACATTTGATTTTAAATAATATAAAGTTTTTTAATATTACCTCCTTCCACGTTCATTCTTCAGGGTTCCTCCATATTTTGGTCTAGTCCCGATCAGGTCAATTATCTCGGGTATACAACTCGCAAAAATCGCCTAAGGAACCCCAAATTTTTCAAGAATAGTTCAAAATTCCAAGAAAATGTATTATATTTAAAGATGAGCGTTGCGCCAGTTTTATGTAAATGTAGTAGAATAATTTATGGATATAAAATATAAGTACTATTATAAAAGATAGTGTTTTACGACTTTGACAGCGCACGATGATAAGCATTGAATACATAGTTATGTTTATTTTTTATTAATCAGCATTATTAACTAGGATAGATTAGGTCAGTTAGTTACTCAGTGCATGCCATTAAAATTAACCAAAATTCAGGTTTTAAATAATGCTTACTTATTTTTATTATAGTAACTACATATTATTTAAACAAATTTCTCAGTTTTTACCGCCAAATGATAAATTATTATTCTTGGAAATTGATTATAAATCAAAATGACGGTTAAACTATGATAATAATTAAAAAAATAATAATTGTAAGTGAGCACACCTAAAGAAACGTGGCTTGTTAGCAATCAGCAGTAACACGAGTTAAGTATTTTATACAATACATTGATAACTACTAAAATACATTATATTTAATAATAATATCGTAACGATACAAATCTGATTAATAATTTCAATTATTGACTCATAATAACCTCAGACATATAGTTATTTATAACTACATATATAAATAAATATATATATATATATATATATATATATATATAGAGAGAGAGAGAGAGAGAGAGAGAGAGAGAGAGACAGAGAGAGAGAGAGAGAGAGAGAGTGTCTAGTAAGTAAGGAAACGGGTTTCTATTGTTTTCATTGTTTGTAAAAATTGACTTGTTTCCTTACTTACTGAACACCTGTATATTAGTATTAATATAAAACGTATTTTTAATTATTCAACAAATTCTTACATGCTGAATTTTTAGTTCATTTGCTAGCCAATCGACTATGTCGTTTTTATTAGATGAGTTTAGGCAAGTATATATTAATATTGTTACGGGTCAATAGAAATCTACCAACGAGCCAATGTTTCTTGGTGTACAAACAAAATAAAATGCAAAATTAAATTAAGAAACATAAAAAAAAAAAAATAATATTAATATACTGCTATTCAACATTAAGTGTATTTTAGATCAATTAAAAATCACAATGAAAACAAACAAAACATATGGCGGAAAAAACTGTTACCACAAATTAACACCTCGTTTATTCAGCGACTTATGTAAAAAATGATTAATTTAAGTAAAACACTATAGCTAATCAAACACATATTTCTTGATACTGCACTATTTATAATTTAACTCATTTTATTTATTTATATCTCACATAAAATAAGATAGTAAATAATAACCACGCCGAGTTGTTATCAATATATCAAATTATAAGAATTTATAATATTAATAAAAAAATTAATAATATAATATTGTTTACAATAAATCTACCAACAATGTTAACAATTTTTAATGCATTTAATTGAAAAAAATTATTAGTAATTATTCATCAAAATGTATTTTTTGATTATATTTGAGTCACTATATGATGTAATTATTGTTTTAAAATTCAATTTTTATTATAATGTTGTAATAATTGACAAAACTAATGAAGCTAATAAGTGCGAATTCTACTCAACAATATGAAAAGATAAAATATTATTATCGAATCTATCATCTAATATCCAGACAATATTATTCTCTATGTTTATTCTAATCTATTTCTTTACTTAATAATATGAAAAGAAATATTTTGTTCATGCCACCAAGATTTTCATTTTGGCTACAATGGTAGATATAACATGAGGTCATGTAACAATGTATTTTCACTGCTATTTTCAATGTTATTATTTTAGAATTACACATTATGTGCATGGAGAATCTTTTAGACTTAAAAAATAGCAATTTGACAGTTTTAAAATTGTTACGTTAAATTTATATCAAAGTAGGATTGTCTTATTTTCAAAAGTTTACAAATTTTTGATATTTTAATATTTTTTTCTGCTTAATTTTTACATAATTTTACTGGTGAAAGTTCCAAGTTATAATTCTAGTTCTATTGAAAATAAAATATTAATTACATTACTTTTTAACGTTTTAAATCTGAATGGCTTAAAAAATATCAATCATTAAAACAAGTAAAATAGTGAAAATACATTGCTTCAGTTTTTTAATTTCATCTTTAAAAATATGTAGCGTTAAGCAAACAAAATGCAAATATCTAATCGACCATGAGAGTCTAAAGGGTAACCCAGTCGAAGCGTCTAACCAATGCGGTCCGAATTATTCCAATAAAATTACTTCTTATATGTATATAATAAATAAAATAAATAATATGAATAATATACTGCTTAGGGCACATTTTTATGTGTGTTAGAAAGAAAAATTATTAAGCAATTTCTTGCCTTCGCCTTTCTCGCTTGTATTCCCCACCATATCGCTTCCTGTTGCCAGCAAGTTCGGTGATTTCAGGTATCCAGCTTGCCATCACAGCCTATCACCGTTCGGTCAACAATACAACATTAAAACATTAAAAACACCCCAAAAATAATTAAACAAATCAAGAAAAAAAATAGAAGTTTAAAACCATTGTAAAATGATAAAAAAAAAAAAAAAAAAAAAAATTTTTTATT